CCCACCCCGAAGATGACTACTCTTCGGGTGCTGCTGCACATAGCCGCTCAGCGCGACTAGGAGCTTCACTCTCTCGACTTCAGCACTGCGTTCTTGCAGGGTAGCCTGCACGAGGAGATCTGGCTTCGCCGTCCACCTGGCTTCACTGGGACTTTCCCTCCTGGCACCCAGTGGAGCCTCCGACGGCCAGTCTACGGTCTCCGCCAGGCACCGCGTGAGTGGCACGACACACTGAGGACTACGCTTGCGGCTCTTGGGTTTGCTCCTTCTACTGCTGACCCGACGCTGTTTCTGCGCACCGACACTTCCCTGTCGCCGTTCTACATCCTCGTGTACGTCGACGACTTGGTCTTTGCCACAGCGGACACTGCTGGACTCGCCTACGTGAAGTCCCAGCTGCTGAAGAGACACACGTGCACAGACCTGGGTGAACTGCGCAGCTACCTTGGCTTGCAGATCACTCGGGACAGAGCACGCCGCACCATTACCTTGACTCAGTCACACATGGTGCAACAGGTCCTTCAGCGCTTCGGCTTCACGTACTCCTCGCCTCAGGCCACTCCTCTGCCTACTCGCCACTCACTCTCAGCTCTGCCTTCGGATGAGTCCGTAGAGTCGAGTGGTCCGTATGCAGAGCTTGTTGGCTGCCTCATGTACCTGATGACCTGCACACGACCTGACCTTGCATACCCTCTGAGCATTCTTGCACGCTATGTTGCTCCTGGGAGACACAGACCGGAGCACATGGCTGCAGCGAAGAGGGTATTGCGCTACCTGTGCAGTACGTCGGGCATGGGGCTAGTGCTTGGAGGGCGGAGTCCAGTGGTCCTTACCGGCCACGCGGACGCTTCTTGGGCTGACGACCAGGCTACGCAGCGGTCGTCACAGGGTTACACCTTCAGTCTTGGTTCCGGCTCTGTCTCGTGGCGGTCTACTCGCTCGTCTTCGGTTCTCGGCTCCAGTTGTGAGGCTGAGATCTACGCCGGGGCCATGGCTGCACAGGAGCTTCGCTGGCTCACCTACCTGCTGACTGACCTTGGAGAGCCGCCTCGTTCTCCTCCAGTGCTGTACGTAGACAACAAGGCCATGCTGGCCTTGTGTCGAGAGCAGCGCTTGGAGCACAGAACAAAGCACATTGCTCTCCGCTACTTCCTTGCTCGTGAGCTGCAGCAGCGTGGTCAGTTGCGACTTGCGTACGTGGCCTCTGAGGCCAACACTGCTGATGTGTTCACCAAGGCACTCGCGCCTTGTGACCATCAGCGCTTCTGCACCCAGCTGGGTCTTGTGCCTGTCTTGCCTCACTTGCTCTCCTCTTGAGTTCACTTGTACTGTGACATATATATATGCCTGCTCTTGCTTGTCTAGTTTTATATATATGTCTGTACTCCTGCATGTGAACTGGCCTCTGGCCCTACTCTTGTACTCGGACTGTGTGGTGACTTTGTGATCCACCCTGAGCTTGCTTTGCTTTGCTTGATTGGTCTTGTGACCCCTTGTTCTCCCCCACTTTGCCTATGGGGGTGTGTCAGATTTATATGACATAGTTGCTGTAGGCTATAGTGGGGTAGCACGTATGGGGTACAGGTTTTCTAGGGTTGTATTTGTACCCAATCTTTCCTTAGTCATTTCATTCCTGTTCTTCAGTTTCACACCTGTCGCCTACCCTGCGTCCCTGGCGCCTACCCTACGGCCCCGTCGCCTACCCTGCGGCCCCGGCGCCTACCCTGCGGACCCGGCGCCCACCCTGCGGCCCCGGCGCTACCCTTCCCGGCCCCGGCGCCGCCTCTACCGGCCCCGCCGCCGTCCCCACGCGGCCCCGCCGTCACCACCGAGCCGCCGGCGCCGCCGAGCAACTGCCGAGCCGCCGGAGCCATCCAAGCCGCCGTACCGCCGAGCCGCCCGAGCCGCCGAGTCGCTGAGCTGCAGTTGCTGCCGAGCCGCCGTACCGCCGAGTCGCCCGAGCCGCCAGAGCCGCCGAGTCGTCGAGCTGCATTTCCTGCTGAGCCGCCGAGCCGCCCTATCCGGTAAGAGCAGCGCCTCTATCACTGCACTGCCCTTACCCTACTGTTCGCGCTGCTAGTCTACTGCTGTCATGGCTACCCCTAGTGTCCTCGCTTTTGACACTGAGGGTCGGGCCATTGACTTTGACGTCTGGGTAGATGACCTGCAGCTTTTCCTACAGTGCAATAGGGCAGACGGTCTCTCCCTCTTTGACCTCACTTCTGGTGCCTCTCCTGCCCCTGCTGCTGATGCTGACGCCACTATTCGCTCACAGTGGGCCACACGCGATGCTGCTGCACGTCTTGCTGTGCGTCGCCACCTGCCTACCTCTGAGCGTGCACACATTAGCCAGTACAAGAGTGCTCAGACCTTGTACGACGCTGTAGTTGCACGCTACTCCTCCCCTGCCACTGCTGCACTGAGCCGCCTCATGCTACCGTACCTCTTCCCTAACCTTGCTGCCTTTCCCACAGTCACTGACCTCATTACGCACCTCCGCACTAGTGACACTCGCTACCGCGCTGCGCTTCCTGCTGAGTTCTGCGCCAAGAACCCCCCCCCCCATGTACATCACCCTCTACTAAATAGTCACTCGGCTCCCTGACTCTCTCCGCGTAGTCAGGGACCACTTCCTCTCAGTTTGCCCCACCACTCTCACCGTTGACCTCCTCGAGAAGGCCCTCCTAGCGGCAGAGAAGAGCATAGTCGCTGTAGGAGCCTCTCGTGGTGACCCTCGTGGTAGGTATCTTAAGGAATTTGCATCCGAGGTGGCATCATAGGTGGCATCGTCCTCATCTCAGCTAGACAACATGATAGTACAGCAAGATAACACAATATCACGACAGCACGACGACCTCATGACAATATGTCAGCAAGACAGCAAAACATCATGACATAATGAAGCACACCATAATCACCTGGATATAATACGCCCCACTAGTAGACCTGGGTATACTAATAAGGTCACCGATATCCATGAGGAAGAAATAGGTTAGTGCATGTGATAAATCTTAACTCTGCAATCATGACAACATGTCAGCAAGACAGCAAAACATCATGACATAATGAAGCACACCATAATCAACTGGATATCATACGCCCCACTAGTAGACCTGGGTATACTATTAAGGTCACCGATATCCATGAGGAAGAAACAGGTTAGTGCATGTGATAAATCTTAACTCTGCAATCATGACAACATGTCAGCAAGACAGCAAAACATCATGACATAACGAAGCACACCATAATCACCTGGATATAATACGCCCCACTAGTAGACCTGGGTATACTATTAAGGTCACCGATATCCATGAGGAAGAAACAGGTTAGTGCATGTGATAAATCTTAACTCTGCAATATTGTGTGTGGACTTCGTGCAGTCGAAATTGCTGTTAGGGTGTACGGCTGTTGATGCGGAAACTGGTCGCACCACCGCGCGCTCCGGTTTGCCTACATAGAGTGTCACTCATATGCGACTGTTGCATGAGATGCCTTTTTCCGCGCCAAAACCTTTGCGTGTCATTTTGTTGTCATCAGGTCAGGGCGCGTGTCTTTTGCAAATCAGGCTAAAGTTCATGTTTTTTGTTCGAATTTACACATTCGAACTTTGGTCGACCTGTGGTCGACCATCTCGACTTTTCGTGGTCGAGGAGCAGCGTCAGCAATTCCGAGTCGCGCGTGGAACAACAAAGTTCGAATATCAGAGTTCAACTTTAAACAGTACATTACAAGTCGCGCTAGACTTCTGTAGGGTACCCGGCTGTGCGGTGCAGTTCTTGACCGGACCCGAATTGGTAACCTGATACATTTTCCCTCGTCATCGTCGAGAACCTCGCAAAGTTTCGGGCGTGCGTCAAAGAACACACGATTGGAAAAGGTAAACGTTAAAATCCGAACACTGGTCGACTTCAGTTTAGTGTCCAGCTTCCTTCACACAGTTTGAACCAGGACACACGATTCCCTCGCGAATGTTTTGGCGAGAGAAACGAAACAGGTTACCAGCAAAAGTTCGACCCTATTTTCGAACGTCAACACCAAAAGACACGCGCCCTTAGAAAGTCACCTTCCCTGTGTCCGCTATTTTCGCCTTAGTTTTTGTTTTCGCATCACGATTCGTCGTGGTGAGATCCCCGCGTGCGATATGTTCGAAGCAGAACGCTGGTACAATCGGTGCTCATTTCAAGAACACCAGGCAGGCGGGCGGCAATGGACTGAAACGGGCGGCGGGTACTTTGTCGATCTTCGCCACGCCGCCACGGGCAAAAATGGGACTGTAAAGTAAAAGTGGGACTTTCGTCAAGTCGCTGTAACTCGGTCAACCATTTTAAGATGACGTATGCGATGACGCATGGACGGGCGACCTCTGTTGTTTCTGAACTGTAGAGGTCGATCTTCTGCAACTTGGTGACTCTACCACACTGCTCAATTCAGTCACTCACGGGCAAAAACGTTCGCGAGTGACTGTTTTTCTGATTGGGGTCACCTTAAGACACGGGATAAGGTGAGCATCGACTGCAGGGGATGTGTTGAGGCGGGAGGTGGTGGGGGGGGAGGGGAGGGGGGAAACTCGACCGACGTTCGGACTTGAGATGTTCATTCTCGCTGAACCTGTCTTGAACCGTCTAGAAAGCTCTGAAACGCAACGAAACCTACCGAACCGCATATTCTTAATGCTGCAACTGAGGGCGGGGACAAACCACTGGGAGGCACACAGTCACGAACGAGACTGGTCCTGACCTGACAACAAATACGCTGCCTACACACAAATTTCATACCAGACCGCATCCCTTGCCTAGATCGACGGCGTATCATCTCACGACACGTCGTGTATCCAGCCACTAATTCATTCCAATCCACATCCATTTCCTTCCCTTCCGGAAACCTCGACTTCCCCTGACCTCCATCCATCAGCAGTACAGAGTCGGAATATATCTTGCTTTGCACAGCAAGTTCCACACTCAATCACAAGTCGTTCTCTTGAAACTAGCAAACCAGCAGCAATGGCCCAGTCCCCATCGTCGACGCGCGCCCTCACCCTCGCTGTGCTTTTCTCCGCGTCACTATGGGTAGCGAGCCTCCCGCGCTCCGCGGATGCAGTTCAGCTCTCCTACGTGCTGTCTCAGATCCGCAACAAGACCAACACGGGCGCCAACGCGGACATATCCGCGGGAATGGTGGAATTCGCCGCTGGATACGACAAGGTCGATGACATCACTGGAGGCTCGCTTCTTCTGCCCATCAACGACGGCTGGACTAACGCACTCGCGGCCTACAAGACCAACAATCCGTCTGCGACAACCTCCTCGGACCCGGTTCTCGAGGCACTCAGCACGATTGTGTCCTCGTCGGGGTCACTGTCGGCCCTCAACGGCATGTCGTCCAACGCCAAGAACGCCATGTCGCGCCTCGCCAAGTTCATGTCTGTTCGCGAATATGTCGGACCCACCGAAATGCAAACTGGCACCGTGAGTACCCGCACCCATGCCGATGTACTCGGCGCGGAACGAACACCATGACCCGCAACGTGATGATAGGCCAATTCCTACATTCTTGCATCTCCTGCTTTTGGAGAAATTTAAAAACCAATTCCTACTTTGTTGCATCTCCTGGTTTTTGAAAAAACTCTAAAACCGATTCCTTGCATCTCCTCCACCATTCCATTTGATGATGTTGCACAATCCTCTTTCCTCGTCATTGCACCTCGCCAATCGTCTCATTCTCATCATTACGCATCCGTTTCCCTCCCAAGCAGTACAAGAACGGGCGGTTCAGCTTGAACACGGCGCTCAACCAGCCAATCTATCTCTACGCCAACGTCACCGGTGTCCTCACAACCGGCAGCGGGATAGATCACGTTTTCACCGGGACCGACCGTGGCGCCGTCGACCCGACTACGTACAAGAAGAATGGACTCGTGGCAGGCAGTGGCGCTGGAGGGCCGAAGGCAGTGGGGGATGTGACAGCCGTCTTTGGTCTTGCCAGCTCCGCTCAAGTGCTGGGCAAGACCACGTCGTCATCTGACATGTCCGCGATTGTTGTGTCTGACCCCGTGTTCCCCGCGACTATGAGCTCGCTTACCAGCTCCGATCCTGTGCAACCGTATGGCAAAGGTGCGTTGTGGCGTGTGGATGGTACAAGCGGGCCTTGAGAGCGACTTGCTGTTTTTTCAGCAATGATGCCACGACAGGAAGTTCGTAACGTCGAAGCTCCTGTGAGTGCCGAGTGGACACTTGCTGAGGTACAGTGGCATGTCCTTGTTGCTACATGCCCATGCATTGTGACAGCCTCTCTGTCCAAACCTGAGCTGCTGCTGCAGCAATACCCTATCAGCTTTATTAACCGGTTTTGGGATGTTCTCTTTTGAATTTGCAGGTGCTGGAAGTTTTGCGATATATGGAAATCTTTTGGCGCTGGGTCTTTCTGTGATTGCGCTGCTTGTGCTCATTCAGGAGTTGATGTAAGCACAATAGAGTGTTCCGTACACCACTTCGCTCTACTTGTTACCCTAACCACTTTAAGAGAGGCTGGTTTGTTATGGTATATATCGATATCGTACTGCAATGTTTATTCATTGAGAATCATGTCATGACAGTTTGTTCTGTTAATTATCAACGTGCCTGTTGACAGACTGGGACCAGATTTCCTTCTTTTCAGCCTTCTTAGGCTGCTTGTGAAGGAAAGGATAGTAGATGGTGACCCCTTGACCTGATCTCCAATAAAGAAAGTGCTGCGATGCACTTGGTACAAACCTAAGTGCCTCCTGTCAGGCACAGATCCCCTTCTATTCCGCCTTAGTAGGCTCCTCCAGGAAAGGGTAGTCAATGTACCCCTTGACCTGGTCGGGGATGAAGAAGGTGCTGCGGTCGTACGCGTTGAGCGGCGCGTTGAGCTCAAAGCGCTTTGGGAGGTCGGGGTTGGCGAGGAAGAGGCGGCCGTACGTGATCAGATCCGCCGCCCCGCTCTCAATGGCTGCCATGCCGCTCTCGCGCTGGAGGTTGGGACAACAGTAGGGGATTGGAGAGCAAGGGGAGGAGAGCACAGTGGGGAGGATTGGGGGGATTGGCGGTAGAGATGGACGGGGGGGGGGAGGAAGAGAGGGTGGGGTTGTGCGCATGCGGGATATGCATAGAATATGGATAGAATGCAGCACTCGATACGTATGGTACGTGTTTGGAATACGGGACGACCATTAGAAACCACATCCTGCATTGCTTTACTATCACATGATGCAATTAATTGCCACACAACATGCATCGCCATACAACCATCCAACATGCATTGCCATGCAACATGCACTGCCATTCAACATGCACTGCCATTCAACATGCATTGCCACGAGAGTGGAGTCACCACGCCAATGCAGCACTTGTGTCACAACAGACTGGGCCCAGCATACCTTGTAGCCACCGGCAGCAATGAAGGGCCCCTTGAATGCCTTGCGGAATGGCTCCAGAGTCTGCAGGTAGAGTGAAAGGAGTTGGAGGGGGGGGGGGGAAGGGGAGAGAGCAACGGCGACAATAATATTAATATATATTCAAGTGCCAAAAAATCGCCTCAACGAAGGGCGGCTCTAGAGTCTGCAGACAGAGTGCAAAGGGGGAAGCAACCGCAGCAGCAACCAAGCATGCCTGCAAGCATAGAGTGACATGTGCGATGTGCCCCACCCACGCTTACCTCCACCACGCCTTCCATATCCCACAACAACCTCAACTCGTTCACAGCACAAGCTGTATATCCCGTATTCCCTTTGTGAGCCTCCGTCACATCCTCATTCACACGCACCACTCACCTCCTACGCGCCTCTCATCTCCCTCACAGGTCATCATTAGCCAGCCCTGCACTGCGCAGGCCTCCACGAAGCTCACATACGCCAAGCCAGACAGAAAGACACAACCCCCACACACACCCACCGCCAATGTGCATCTCACCTCCTTCACAGTCGCTATGTCGTCGTTGCCTCGCACGCGGGCGTCGATGAAGTGCACATACGCCAGGCCCAAGCCGTTGACGGCCTCCACCATGCCCACGTACGTGGCGACGGGGTCGGAGTCAACAGCATCCAGGAACGTGCTGTACGGCGACAGGCGCACGCCCACCCTGCTGGCGCCCACCTCGTCCGCCACTGCCTTGATCACCTGGGAGGGGAAGGGGGGTGGGGGAGCATGGGCGGGGTGGGGGAAGCGGAGGAGATGGAGGAAGTAAGGGGGGAGGAGATTTGGGAAGAGATGGGGGGAGATGGGATAAGGGGCTGCATTTCAACGCCTCACTACAGCCCCACCCTCTCTCGAGTTCAGCAAACGTAGTGGCATGGCCAGCCTATTACCAGAAATCCATGCACTCACCCCCCCATAAAGTCACAGCAGCTTGACCCACGTACAGGGCGCAGAGGTGGTGTGATTTGAAGCGTGCAGCACAGCAGCTTCAACCATTGCCCCTCCAAAACTCACAGCAGCCTGACCCACCTGCAGGGGGAACCGAATCCTGTTCTCCAGGGACCCGCCAAACTCATCCTCGCGCTTGTTGCTGCCGTCCTGGCAGTGGGGGAGGAAGGTGGCGGAAGAGTGGAGGTGGGTTGTTGAGAGAGTGGGGATAATGAGGTGGGCCACCTCGGGTCCGAACTTGCCCTCAGGCTCGTTGCTGCTTGGTGGTGGGTGGAGATGGGGGAGGATTGGAAATGACAGAGATGTGGTGAATGCAGATCTGGAAAGAGGTGTGAACCTGAGCTAATGAATATAATTAAAATGGGCTGTAGAGCATGATAATCTCACACTCATCCCACCTTTTAAACCACAATGCGAGAACAAGAGACAAACAAAAGTGGGTTTGGCTAATGATTCGCATCTAAAACACACCTTTTGCTAGTTAATAATCGCAAACTAGATACTCCGCAGCATCTCCGCTCTGCGTTACTCACAATCGTGTCACGGCAACGAGCCTCAGTCATTTCACCTTCATGTACCGCCTCAGCAGGTACTCTTTCGCTGCGATAATTTCTAGTGTTGCAGATTCGCTCAATTGGTAACCCGTTCGTCACTTCCACTGCCTCACCAGAACACCCCGCCCCGTTACATTTCACCTTGATGAACCGCTCCATAGGGTACCTGTTCGTTGCGGTAAACCCTAAGTTACAGAATCGCACAAACGGTAACCCGTACGTCGCTCACAACTAGATGAGAACGATGTGCGGTCGTCTCACCTTGATAAACTGCTCCAGCAGGTACCCGTTCGCGCCATGCACCTCCACCCCATCGAACCCCGCGTCAATCGCGTTGCGCGCCGCCACGCGGAACTGCTCCGTCACCTGAAAAAACCACCCGCAGCGGACATTCAGGATGATGGAAAAGAAGAAGAAAATAAATAAACAGAGTGGATGAGGGAAATGGGATGCGCGAGATGGATAGCAGCGGAAGCGCATCATGGGAATACTACACACCGCACAGCTGTCGCGCAGCCGCGTGCTGGGTGGCATTGCGACGATGGTAACAGGCACATCATGGAGACGGGGCAATGGGGGTAGAGCAAGCGGGCTGCCGGAAGTGCACGGCGCGTGGTACTGCTCGGTCAGCTGGGTTGTGAAGTGGAACGAGCAGGACCGGCACGATCGATAGCGGATATGGGACCATGCGGAACGCGCGTCATGCAACGAGCACAAATGCGGAGCCTCGCCTGCCGCTTCAGTCATGGACCGAGGGGAATAAACGCCTTAGACACATAGTTTCCGTCTCCGTACCTTCCATCACGTCCGTCTCATACCTTCCATCACGTCCGTCTGGCAACCTATCAAGCACTGCTCGTAGCCGCACAGCAGCTCCCTACCTTGTTGATGTCTTCGGCGGTCATGGCTCTGGGCGTGGGATAGTCCGCGGCGCCAGTGCTGATGTACACTTTGTCCTCGCTACGGATGGGAATGGCGGACGGAGCCAACGGCGCGGCGCCATCAGGCTGGTACTCTGATTGGGGCGCAATGGGGGGGAGACGGGGCAGGCGAATGACGAGGAGAGGAAGGAGCGATGAGGAACGACAGTTGTGGATGCGCGAAGACTCTCGGAGAGAAAAAGGGGAACCAGTACGTGGGGTCGGGTCGCATCGTGATGGTAGGGTGAGGGACGAAGCAGGGAGAATGAACGACTCGTTGCTGGGTGAGCGATCGGAATCGCCAATGTGGAAGTGAGACGCGAGACAATCAACGCGAATGGCATTCACCTTGAACGACAACCCCAGGTTCCACGATGATGCCCCAACGTAAGAGTCTCCTCCCACCATCCGATGCACCAATCTCGCACTGCGACGCAGCGACGTGCATTGCCATGCAGCAATGTCGCATTGCGATACAGCAATGTCGCATTGCGATGCAGCAACGTCGCATTGCGATGCAGCAACGTCGCATTGCCATGCAGCAATGTCGCATTGCGATGCAGCAACGTCGCATTGCGACGCAGCGACGTGCATTGCGATGCAGCAATGTCGCATTGCGATGCAGCAATGTCGCATTGCGATGCAGCAATGTCGCACTGCGATGCAGCAAACGTCACATTGCGATGCAGCAACGTCGCATTGCGATGCAGCAAACGTCGCATTGCGATGAAGCAACGTCGCATTGCGATGCAGCAACGTCGCATTTCGATGCAGCAACGTCGCATTGCGATGCAGCAACGTCGCATTGCGATGCAGCAATGCCGCATTGCCATGCAGCAATGTCGCATTGCGATGCAGCAACATCGCATTGCGATGCAGCAATGTCGCATTGCGATGCGACTATGCCGCATCATCATTGCCAATGCGATCGGTCGACGTCGTGAAAGGAATGAGCAGGAATAAAAAAATCGTTTTGGTGCGACGTCAGTCCACGTCGTCGACACCTTAGCACAAGCGGGATTCACCTTGGTGCGACGCGCGGCCGACGTGCCACAGCTGGCAGTAGAACCGCGCGCCCTTGTCGTGCACCGCCTTGATCACCGGCTTCCACGCCGCGATCTGCGCCTCCGTGTAGATTCCCGGGGTGTCGGGGTACCCGTGCGCCTCGGGTGAGATACACGTGGCTTCGGTGAGCATGAGCCCGCCCTTGTGCGCGCGCTGCCCATAGTAAATCGCGGCGTTCGGCTGCGGGATGGTCCCGAGGGCGCGGTCGCGCGTGAGCGGCGCGTAGACGATGCGCATCGAGAGCTCCGTGCCGTCCGGGAGAGTGAACGGCGTGAGGAGCGGGTTGGCCATGATGCGCGGCGCGAGCGGGTCGACTGAGACGGACGGAGCAGAAAATGCAAGGATTTCTGCGGGGATGAAGGAGCTCAGCACACACAAATAGGGTCGCAATGTGTCATAAAAAAAAGCTGATAGAAATGGTTTCAGCAGTATAAGGAACACGCATGGGTCAGGTTGAGATCGTTCAGACAACCTGGACTAGTTGATTACTGCACACCGCGACGCGGCATGCTAGTGTGACTGGGCGACAAGTACAGTGGTGGCTTGGTTTGAAGCGGTATATGTAAGGGAATGTTACGAGTGGAATTGAGCGAGCGAGCGAGAATTGCACTATCTAAGACAAAACAGTACATTGAGGGTACGAGAGAAGAATGTATAGCGAAGCTAGCATGGTAACAGTAACGTGAGAATTTGGGGTGCGCTACGTGCACAGCGCCGATGTTGGGAAATGTCGAAGCGGAGGACCACAGCACGGGTTACCAACTGAACCGTGAGGTTGGGTCGCGAGGCGTACAGCGGCGAAAACATTGGTCGAGGCGACTGCCACGAGCGCGTTACGTTTTACTGTTGGGTGTCGGTGGCGGGAACAGTCATGTACGCGGTAAGCAGGGGTGTGAAGTAAGGAAAAGGAATTTTCCTTACGCTACCCCCCACCCCTAAGGAGGCCCTCCTTACGAGAGTGTGTGTACATCTCGGAAAATTCGGCTGCGCAGATAGTCAGTGAGAATGGGGTGCTTTTCGATTCTATCCATGGGTACCCAGTTGTCTTCAGTTGGTATGCAGTCTTTCTAGCGGATCAGAAATTCGATCATACGAGCTATACGTGGGTCACGAACTCGGTGGCTCCGTATTTTTTCAGGCGTGATGATTGGCTCTATTGGCGGTCGTGTCATGCTGGCTGGGCGGGTGCGTGGCAGTTGGCTGGTGGATGGGACGTGGGCGGAGCAAGCTGACGTGGAATGACGGGTTGACGTACAAGTCAGCTGGGAGGAGGAGATGGGCAGTGCCATGGGTAGTCATGTGGCTGATGCGAAATGGCTCGTAATATCCGGGGCGGAGTTTTGGGGTGAAGGGCAGGCGGAGGTTCTGGGTGTCGATTAGAACGAGATTGTCGGGCTGGTAAGTGACGGGACGGCAGTGGCGGTCGGCGTTGCACTTAGCGATGATGGTCGATTTTTATACCGTCATTCCCCGGATATAAGTGCCACCCTGGGATAAGCGCCACGCGCTTGCAATTGGCATATGGCGCTTATATCCGCTCCTCGATTATAAGCGCATCCCCTGAAAAAACTTGTTTTATTATAAGCACACGTAAATTTTGAAATATGTTCAAAACGCTGTAACGATTTTTAGTTTACCAGGCGAATGTGCTGCAGATTCGGTTCCTTCACATTTGGACCCTGCACTGGATGTGAGTCCAGTCAGCATAGGCTGTCAGGAGCTGTCAGGAGCTGTCAGGAGCTGGATGTGAGCCAGATTGAGTGTATCTCCCAGCGCGCGCGAGAATTTCACTAACGACCCCATGTAACCTCGACTCGATTGAAAAGGCGAGCACAAGATCTACAGTTTGTGTCAAACTCATATTATATAGCTTGTGTAGGCTATAGTGGGGTAGACACTATGGGGTACAGTTTCCTAGGGTTTCCTACTTGTACCCAACTTAGTGCTAGTTCATTACACTCCTCAATTCTCACATGGTATAGAGCAGGTTCCCTCGTGGGAACTTCCTAGGGCCCACCACCGAACTTCGACTTTTTTTCCTGCCCTGAGATCGAGTCGCTCCTGACCGAGGCGCGCCCAGTGTACCACCCTCCCCTCAGCGACCCGTCGCGCAGCCCTCAGCGGCCCTCCCCCTCTCTCACGGCTCCTCGCGACCCCGTACCCGCTCTCCTAGCGGCCCGTCGCGCCGCCCTCAGCGGCCCCTCCTCCACGGCCCCGTCGCCGCCCTATCGCGGCCCCGTCGCCGCCCTCTTGCGGCCCCGTCGCCGCCCTCTCGAGGCCCTGTCGCCGCCCTATCGCGGCCCCATCACCGACGTTCGCGGCCCCATCGCCGCTCGTAGCGGCCCTGCAGCCGCCCCTCGCGGCCTCGTCGCCGCCCTCTCGCGGCCGCGTCGCCGCCCTCTAGCGGCCCCCCGTCGCCTGTCAGAACATTATAGCTTATACATTTGTGTAGGCTGTAGTGGGGTAGCCCATAAGGGGTACAACCCAATTAGGGTTAGTACTTGTACCCAACTGTTTCATAGTTCATCCATCTGCACTTCTCGTCATCGCCGCCCTCTTGCGGCCTCGTCGCCGCCCCTCCGCGGCCCCGCTACCGCTCCTAAGCGGCCCCGACGCCGCCACCTACGCAACCTCGACGCCGCCTCTTCTGAGCCGCCGAGTCGCCCAGCAGCAGAGCCGCCGAGCTGCCCAGCAGGCGAGCCTCCCGACAGCCGAGCCGCCGAGCCGCCCGACCGCCGAGCCGCCCAGCAGCCGAGCCGCCCAGCAGCCGAGCCTCCTAGCCGCCGAGCCGCCCGACAGCCGAGCCGCCCAGCGGCCGAGTCGTCGAGCCGCCCGACCGCCGAGCCGCCCAGCAGCCGAGCCGCTGAGCCGCTACCAGTCCTACCGATGCGCCCCGGCCCTACTTACTCGTACTGGTGAGCGCACTACTTGCTAGACCTCTGCAGTCATGGCTACCCCTAGTGTTCTTACCTTTGACACTGAGGGCCGTGCTGTTGATTTTGAGGTCTGGGTCGATGACCTCCAGCTGTTCCTCCAGTGCGATAGGGCAGACGGCCTCTCTCTGTTCGACCTCACCTCTGGTGCCTCCCCTGCCCCGCCTGCTACTGCTGACAGCACTGTTCGCTCACAGTGGGCGACACGCGATGCTGCTGCCCGTCTTGCTGTGCGTCGCCACTTACCAACCTCTGAGCGTGCACACTTTAGCCAGTACAAGAGTGCTCAGACCTTGTACGACGCTGTAGTTGCACGCTACTCTTCCCCTGCCACTGCTGCACTGAGCCGCCTCATGCTACCGTACCTCTTCCCTGACCTTGCTGCCTTTCCCACAGTGGCTGACCTCATTACGCACCTCCGCACTAGTGACACTCGCTACCGCGCTGCGCTTCCTGCTGAGTTCTGCGCGAAGAACCCCCCCCCCCCCCATGTACATCACCCTCTACTACATAGTCACCCGGCTCCCTGACTCTCTCCGTGTAGTCAGGGACCACTTCCTCTCAGTTTGCCCCACCACTCTCACCGTTGACCTCCTCGAGAAGGCCCTCCTAGCGATAGAGAAGAGCATAGTCGCTGTAGGAGCCTCTCGTGGTGACCCTCGCACCCCCGTCTTTGAGGGGTGTTCCCCCTCCCCCCTCTTGCCCTCTATTGCTTCTGCTGCTGCGGCCGACCTCGTTGGTTTCGAGTCGGTCGGCGCTGCGTCTGCCCCTAGGCGGCGGTGGTGGAGCGAGTCGCGACTCTGCGTCGAGGAGTGGCGCCGGTGGTGGTCAGCACCAGCAGCAGCAGCGGAGTGGTGTGACCCTGTCCCCTCAGCAGCTTCGTGAGTGGTACACTACACGCCAGCGCGGTGGGGGTTTTGGTCCCTGCTCTTACGTTCTCCGTACCGGCGACCGCACTGGTGAGCAGTGCGGGGGTCCGCACTCCACCCAACGCTGCTTTGGTCGCCTGACGGACGCGTGGCGTCGCCAGTTCCCTGAGGCGTCAGAGATCCCTCGCTGGGGAGATCTGGCTAAGGCCGGGGTTGCTATCTTTGATCTTGACTTTGATGCTATTCTAGCTGCCATGTATGCTGTTGCTAATAGTGTTGAGGGTGCCTGTTACCTGTGTGTACCGCCTGACCCGGGCATTGAGGCTGCTGCGCTAGGTGCTGGTGAGACTGCTGCTCTAGGTGCTAGTGCGTCTGCTGCCCTAGGTCCTAGTGCGTCTGCCGCCCCAGGTGCTGGTGAGTCTGCTCTCAAAGGTACTACGTCGGCTGAGGCCTTACACACCTTCACCTTGGACTCGGGTGCGTCCCGCTCCTTCTTTCGAGACCGCACCACTCTTACGCCGCTTAGTCGGCCGGTTGCAGTCTCCCTAGCAGACCCCTCTGGGGGTCCTATCCTTGCTAGCTTCTCCACTGTCCTTCCGTGCCCTGCAGCCCCCTCTGGCACCCTGTCTGGTCTCTACCTCCCCTCGTTCTCTACGAACTTGGTGAGTGGAGCGGACCTACAGGATCGAGGGGTTGACCAGTTCACTCCTGCGAGTCAGCGAGTGACCCACTGCAGGTGTGCTCGGACAGGCCGACACTTGGCCACGTTCACCCGTCGGCCAGGGTCGAGCCTGTACACCCTTACTGCTGAGTCTCCTCCTACTGCTGAGTCTGCCCAGGTAGCTGCGTCGAGTCAGGTGCTTGCTGCGGCGTCCAGGTCTGGTCCTGAGTCTGCCCCCTGCTCGTGTCGTCTGCTGTCCCACCAGACTCTCCTTTGGCACCACCGCCTTGGTCACCCCTCCTTGCCTCGTCTCCGAGGCATGGCCTCCCGTGTCCTTGTCTCTGGTCTTCCTCGGTCTCTCCCTCCCCTTCCTCCGGGGCCTGGCCCTACCTGCGTCCCCTGCGTCGAGGGGCGACAGCGCGCCGCCCCTCACTCCTCCGAGTTTCCTCCGACGGAGGCTCCGCTGCAGACTCTACACATGGACGTGTGGGGCCCAGCCCGCGTCAGTGGGCAGGGGAGAGAGCGGTACTTTCTGCTGGTCGTTGACGACTACTCGCGTTACACCACAGTCTTCCCCTTGCGCAGCAAGGGTGACGTCACTAAGGTGTTGATCGACTGGATCCGCGCAGCTCGTCTCCAGCTCAGAGAGAGTTTCGGCTCGGACTTTCCTGTTCTGCGTCTGCACTCGGACAGATGAGGGGAGTTTTCCTCTGCTCGTCTGGGAGCCTTCTGTCGGGCACAGGGCATCCGCCAGACCTTCACGCTTCCGGCCTCTCCACAGCAAAATGGGATTGCTGAGCGCCGCATTGGCATGGTCATGGACGTCGC